GGGTGCCTATGTGTATGTGTGTGTGTGTGTGTGTGTGCTATAAGCCACTTCTGGTGCTATAAGCCACTGCGCTTAGGCAGGTAAAGGTCATATTTTGAACTGAAGCTGTTAAACCCATCGAGACAAAATACTGGATACATGCTCATGAAAGCTATGTTATCATTATTTATTTATGCACCGATGGTACATTCTATGGAACGCAGGTGGAAGTATTCTTCACAAGAGGGCAATCAAAATGTGTTCATGCAGCACATCCATCACTTTGGCATGGATTATTCTAAAATGGAAAAATGTGGATCTACTCCATGATTAAAAGATCTGTGGATATTTTTGGTCATTGTACTATGTATTATGCACCTTTTCTTAACCAGAATAACGTTATTTCTAATTTTCTATTCGTCCATGCACTTTTTCTAATTTTCACACAAATTACATGTATATTGCTTTAAAAAAAAACCTTGGAATTGAATTGAACATTTAGTTATTCTGTACTTGAAGAGGAATAGAATAAGGAAAAAGTAATTGCACAAAAAGGGAATCTTTTTTGATTGAACGACCAACGAATTCTGAATAATGAGTTCCTATCTTCTGTAGATAGCATATGCAGGATGTTATCCTGAAAATGATTGTTTGGAAAATGCAATCATAGTACAAGTGAAAATTGCATCTGTTTGTCTGTCCAGCTTTCTGTTAGTCTACCCATCTCTATCTCTCTCTCTCTCTCCCCCCCCCCCTCCCTCCCTCCCTATCTCTCTCTCTCTCTCTCTCTCCCTCTCTCCCTCTCTCTCTCTCTCTCTCTCTCTCTCTCTCCCCCCCCTCCCTCCCTCCCTATCTCTCTCTCTCTCTCTCTCTCCCCTCTCTCCTCTCTCTCTCTCTCTCTCTCTCTCTCTCTCTCTCCCTCTCTCTCTCTCTCTCTCTCTCTCTACCCCTCTCTCTCTCCCCCCCTCTCCCTCCCTCCCTCTCTCTCTCTCTCTCTCCCTCCCTCTCTCTCCCTCGCTCTCCCTCTCTCTCCCTCGCTCTCTCTCTCTCAGTGCTTCACTCTCTATCATTCCTGTTCCTCCCTTACATTTTCTATAAATGTTTGTGTATTTTCCTTCATGTCCTTTGCTATTGCTGTATCTACAACAGAATGTTGCTGTAATTTATATTGCTTCTGTCCATGCTCTTTCTCTTCTCCTTCATAGCTCTTATTGTTTCTTCTTCTGCCTGTTGTCCATTTTCTTCTTTTTCTTTCTTCTCTACTTCTTGTTAGTCTGGCTTCTTCTTCTTTGAATATTTCTTCTTTTCTACTTTTTCTTCTCCTCCTCCTCTTTTCTCTTTTCTCCTCTCTGCTCCTACTGGTACCTTCTTTCATCCTCCTCCGCTTTTCTCTTTTATCCTCCTACCTTCTTTCAGTTCATTGCTGAAAGCAAGCTCTTCTATTACTTCTAATAAACCTTTATCCTTCAGGCACTTCCTATTTTTTGTTTTCCTTCACAATGATTTTTTTTTCACCACAAAACCAGGGCAGAGTTGATGCCTCAATAGAGCTTTCTTATTCTCCATCTTTCTCTTCTTATTGTCATATTTCTTCTTTGTCTTTCTCTTCTCCTATTTCTTCTTTCTTTTCTTTTTATTCTTCATCTTCTTCTCCTTCTACTTCTAATTCTGCTTCATCGTCATCATCATCATCATCATCATCATCATCATCATCATCATCTTCTTCTTTTTCTCCTTCTCCTCCTCCCTTCCTTCTCCTCCCTCGCTTCATTCTCCTCCTCCTCCCCATCTTCATCCTCCCCTTCTTCTTATTTCTCCTCTTCATTCTAAAGTTCCAAGGCTGAAAGCAAGGTCTTCTTTTAAACCTTACCTCCAGGCCCTTCCGCTGTTTTGTGTGCCTGCACAAGGATTTCTTTCTGGACAAAACCAAGGTAGAGTTAATGCCTCGACAAGGCCTCCCTATTTTCCATCCTCTTGTTCTTGTCCTGCTTCTTCTTTCTCTTCTTCTCCTTCTTTCTTTTCTTCATCTTCTACATCTTTTTCTCGTGCTACTTAATCTACTTTATCATTCTTCCAAAAGCAAGCTCTCCTACGTAAACCCCCTCTCCTCCAGGCCCTTCCTCTCTTTTGTTTTCCTGCCCAATGATTTCTTTTATCAACACACAACCGGGGCAGAGTTGCCGCCTCGACAAGTGGCACGTGTGTTTTTTGCAGGTGGCACTTTTAGATTCGTCTCCATACATAAAACATGACTATGTGGGACTGAGGTGTGAAATCCATACTGCTGTCTACTGTCGGAGCTGCCAGGAAGATTGGGACTGGGCTATTTTACATAATTCAAATATACAAAATGTTGGATGAATATCATGGATGAGTTAACACAACATTTTAAAGAGAAGATTGATTGTTCTGGTGATTTGCATTGTAGCTTTAAAAAGCTGGAAGGGTCCTCTTTCTCTCTTAGTGCAATCACAATTCCTTTATCACCATTTTTTACCAACTTAGTATTTTTAAAGCCAGATAGGCATTAAATCTGTGTTAACGCCCCTCTGGCTCAAAACAGAGCTCAAAACAGACCTCTCCCCCCCCCCCCTCCTCTCTCTCTCTCTCTCTCTCTCTCTCTCTCTCTCTCTCTCTCTCTCTTTCTTTCTTTTTTGGGGCTGTGTTTTCCAGTTGACTGGGTTGTGAAGATGAAAGAGTAAAGAATGTGAAAGTCACCATGAAGACATTTGACCATGTTGAGCAATATTGAATTCTCTCCACACACTACTTACAAGAATCCATTTTCCAATTATTTGCACCTCGGTTGCACACTTCAGTAAATGTCACACCGCTCACGAGTGATTATTAGAGCATTTCACTGAACTACAGACGGGGTGACCCACTTGTGTCCGCTCGGTTCCTCGCGGGGCCAGTCATGTGGAATGTGTTTTATCTCCGATATGGATCTTTTTTCTTCTTCTCCTTTTGCCTCTCTTTTTGCCTCTTGCCCTAAGTGAGAGGCTCTGACATTTAGTAGCCCCCTAGGGCAAGTAGATTAGAAGAGTGGGATTAGTAGGTCCATGATGGCAGACCCATTATTGGGAAGGTGGCTTTCGTTCACTAATGTTGGTTGACCTATATATTATGCAAAACTTGAAATAATCATCTAAAATATTGTCTTTTTCTTTCTTTCAGGTGGTGTGTATCTCTGTCTTATAATTCTTAAATCTTTCTCCCTGTCTATCCACCGTGTAACTGTTCTGTTGTTGTTTTTGTTTTTGTTTTTGTTTTTGTTTTTTTTGGGGGGGGTAACAATGTTCCTGATACAGAGTTTGGTTCATTGAATACATGATAAATCGCTAATTGATATGTAAAAAGGAACAGGATATTTAGTCTCTTTTGTTTAACAGTCAAAGAGTTCAGTAGATAACATTTCCTTTGTCCTTCAATTATTATTTTTGAATGCCATTACCTCTTACAATGAAAAATATATAGATACCTATGAAATCAGTATCAACTAGTATGATGTGTCAAGTTTGCAGTAATGTGCCTTGGATTTGTTACAGTATGTTTTTTTTACACTCAGTACATCCAACACTTGAACTACACGGATGTGTATCCGCTGTTTTCATTGAAATATGATCTAACACAGAGGATACCCAGTGATTTCCTTTCATTTTCAGAGGAATTAAAAAAAAACAGTTGCTGGTATTTCATCTGTTTCTTTTATAAATCACAAACAATCATAGTATTTACTGTGAGTATCCAGTATGAGCCATTTTAGTGCACCCTGGGGGTGATTCACTAACTGGGAACGATATCGTTCCTAAAATCAATTTTACGGGATTGATTTTAATCCCAGCTTAAAATCGATTCTACCTGACTGGTTCACTAAATCACTTTTATGCTGGGATCAATCCCAGCGTGAATAATCATGCGCGCATATGAATATTCATGTACGCAATCAATCCAACCAATCAACAGACTCAAATTAATGTTAGTTTTGACCTTCACTTCACCCTGTGAAAGTCCTTTTTTTTGTATTACCCTGTACAATGTACATCCACAAATTCTCAATAATGAGGAAGCAAGTTCCACTGACTTCCGATATTTCCTATCAAGCTGTACTATGAACTATCATGGTCATGTCCAAAATATACAAGTGAAGCAGGAATATATTTGTGGCTCGGAATTTGACGTCAGTTTTTATTTTGGTCATTGACGAATCCAGCATGTAGCTTTATATAAAGCCTTAGGTCTACTTGTAGTAAATTGAATACAGCATTTTTACTGCACCCTGCTTAGGGGAATAGACTCTACATTGATGTTGTTGAATATCGGTCGCTTATTTAATGATACTGAAATTGATCTTTTTGATCATTTTGTCTCATTATGCTACTTTTCAGGCTGCATTTTTTATTGAAAATGTAAGAATTTATTTTGTTTAGTCTGCCAAATCGATTTTATTTTTCTTTTAGATTTACTTCATTTATTTCTTGACTTGATTTTGTTTCAGGATAAAATGATGTTTTTCCCTTTTGCAGACTTTTCTTGTCCTTTTTCACAAATAATATGTGAAAAGAGGAATGTTTAATTTCTTTGCGTGTTATATGTGATACATGCATGGAATGGTACTGTGGGGTTTAGATCAAATTTGCACACCCTAACTATACTTTCCCTTTCCACCCACCAGTGCGTTTAGAATTGTATATAGATATCATCAACTAATTAAACCACTTGAAACTGTCCCACAGGTAAAGCCTCCAGGGTGTGTGTCACGGGCTTCGTTATCCAAACCATCCTAATGAAATTGGTCGGCAATCCATGTTTTACTTTGTCTTGTATTGCTCATTCAAATGCTAAATTGCTATTGAGCTTGGGAAGACCAGCAGGTACCACTAATGAGTTATATGCTAGGTTCAATCAAGTGACTTGATATGCTAATGCTTATGTACAAGAACCAAGGTTACATTCATCAAGTGGTATGAGTACATGGATGCTCATTTTCTATTCTGTTATTGTTATCACCCGTTCTGCAGGTATGCTGAACTGAAGAGCGAGGCGTCGCACATCGCTGCCCTTTCTGAGAGGATATGGTGTCCCCTGCAGGCGATGAGGCGATCATGGGAGATGGTGTAGGCCAGACCTTAATCCTTGAGGATCAGTCCTTCTTGAACCAGCACTCCAACATGGAAGTCATCCTATTCATGCTGGCCTTCCTAGCCTACATGGTCCTCTACGTGGTCTACCAGCCTAAGAAGGACGGAGAACAGAAGGAGAACAACCCACGACGGGTGCGGAGGACAGAGTCCCGCTACAGGCGGACCAGGATCTTCGACGTCTTGGGCCTGTCCTTCGACCAGTGCAATAGCTTCCGTGCATTCCTGGATCGGTTCTCGTCGTACGAGGAGGTGGCTCGGGCTATCAAGCTCGCGGGGATCACGAGGAGCGATATGATCATCGGCGTTGACTTTAGCGCCAGTAACGAATGGCAGGGGCGCAAGTCGTACCAAGGGCGCAGCTGTCACAACCTGCACGACGTCTCGAGCAGTAAGACTTTCAATCCCTACCAGCGTGTGCTATCAATCATAGGATCAACGTTAGAGCAATTTGACTCGGACCACATGATCCCCGTTTACGGTTTCGGCGACAAGATCACGCAAGACGAGGCCGTGTTTCCGTTCAAGGAAACGGGCCAACCCTGCGTGGGGTTCATAGACGTCTTAGAGAAATACCACAGGGTGGCCCGAACTGTACAACTGGGCGGCCCGACCAGTTTTGAGCCTATCATTCGTAAAGCAATAGAAATCGTGCAAGAGAAGCAGTCGTACCATCTACTCCTCATCATTACCGATGGACAGATTAAAGATGCGGAGAGGACCGGAGAGGCCATCGTGAAGGCTTCCAATCATCCAATCAGCATCATCGTCATCGGGGTCGGCGACGGTCCCTGGGACGAGATGGAGAACTACGATGATAACCTCCCCAAGAGGAAATTTGACAATTTTCAGTTCGTCAACTTCCATCAAGTCTGCAGCAAGGCGAAGTACGCGGAGACAGCGTTTGCGCTCCACGCGCTCATGGAAGTACCGGATCAATATCAATCGATTTGTTCGTTAGGATACTTGACTAACGCGACACCACCGCTCACTGACAACAACGATAATACAAAGAAATTGAAATAGCCTTATGAGTGTACTATGTGTTTTGTACTATCTGGATGTAAGCAATGTAGTAATTTTCCTCTCATGTTATAGTATGGAGAGATTTTTTCTATTTTTACATGATTCACCTCATGCTATATATTTTTTTCAAAGGCATGAAAGGGTTGAGCCTGAGCTATTTTTTCGAAAATATACAAGTGGTATCGAATGAAATGGTTTATCTTTTTTTTTTTCTTTCTTCTGTATGACTTTTTGTTAGAGTTTATGTAAGAAAAAATGTGAATGTTCCTAAATTTGTTTTCTGATTTTGAATTTTGCTTTGAAATGATGCACAGAAAATATGCTGCATTTCCTCAAATATTCCAAAACATTTTTCTTGTAACTACTAAATAACGATGTACCTGTCAGACAACTATACGTACACATGCCAGTATCCCTGTCAGAGAAAGAGGATCATTCACCAGCAGGAAAAAATACATATCAGACATTTAAATGGTCCTTGATGAAAGAGCCTTATGATGATAGTGATTTCATAATTCATGTTAAGTTTACTTCTAAGCATTCCAACGTTTATGGAATTCATTGACAAGACTCCTTACAAGGCGTTTTCAGCTGTGTTTAAAGTGCAGAGTGGGTGTTCCAAATTGAATCATTTAGAGAAGTTCAAAGAAAATTAAAAACAAGAAAATTCAAACAAATATTTCCAATATTAGACACCTACATGGAGCCCCAAACTAGAATGGCAAAATATAAAATAAATACCCGGTACTTGGCGATTGGTCCTTGTAAATGTTTATTTTTTGTTTTTTCAACCTTTATCTTTTAATCTTCCAGCTTTGACCTTAAATATCAAAAAACATGATACATGAGGATCATGCAAATACGTATATCTTTTACCGGTATTCCACACCTTTGTTCTGACAATATTATGCAATAAGAAACAGCGTAGAAAACTTGTATTGCTGTTCCATGAAGGTGAAATTTCTGCTTCCTAAATTGAAATACCAATGCACGACCATGTAACTCTCCACTTACTCTACTTAACTAACCTACTTAGCTGGTCCAGCCTCAAAAAACACCTTAATTTTTAATTAGTTACCTGAGATTTCTTGAGGATTATAGATCTGTAGATTGAACGGCGGATTTTTATTAAATGCTTTTCTTTCTGTGAGAGAAATACCAAGTTATCTGTCCTTCTATCATATTTTTCTTCCAGTATAGAGCCAACTTTTGAACCTTTGGTAAGAGGACAAATTAAAGACACAGTTCAACATTTTGATGTGGTGGTTCAAGGTATTTTTTACAGAACATGAAGAAGAAACAACCCTGAAAATTTGATGAAACTAATGAAAGTTTAGTGTTTCTACATAAAGGGGAGGAGGGGTAGGGGGAATGTTTTGATTTTCAGTAATAATTGTTTATATGCAGCAGTATGATCAACTCTTTGGTACTACATTTCATCGTATCCTGAGGAGTACTGTCAAAGGTTATCATTATTTGGTATATCAACCATAGTTATTTAAAACTGACAATCGTTTATTTTAAAGGTATTTCATACCATCATCTCTTCAAACTACCCATATAAACCTTACTTCCAGAAACATTAGAGACTGATATTCAACCTGTATTTTCAAAAGGAAAGTATTTTTTTAGAAGAAAAAGATTACAACACCACCACAAACATAGCTACTCTATTACTTCCTGTAATGCCATTGGAAATTCTACCTTCCTGCTCAGAGCCAGAAGGGTGTGTAATTTCTCATAACATTTTGCAGATAGTTTCAGCCTCTCTGGCTCTCAGCTCAGCCGACAACATCCTCTTCCTGTTCGGATTGTAAATACACTGTAGTGACCTAGACCTTGCGCCGGGTTCTTGTACAACAGGAAATCACACCTCCAATGCGTTATGTTTCTCTTCTTCCTTCTTTCATTGTAAATGGCGACCCGCAAACATTGTAGACGAAGTGGTAGCCTTCTTTTCCAGAATGAAATCAGATCTCCCAAAAGCGATAATCTTTCTCTTTGAATACCTCATCCATAATCTTTCAAAAATGACACTTGAAATGATGGATATTTTTGTCCTTGGTGTGTTAGTAAAAAGTGCAATGAAACAGTGCTTTAATTTCCAAGAGAGTTTTCTATAAATGGTCATCAGATTATGCCAAATATTGAGAATTTAGAATGTAAGTATGATTGTAAGATATCTATTTGAACTTTTGTGCACAAAAAGTATTCTCCATATATTTTTGTCTTTTGTCTCTACTCCTTTGTATGTTTAGTATTCTCCTCCATTTCTGTTTTCCTTTTTTTAAATCTCCCTCTTAAATCCTCTGTTTCTCCTTTGTTCTGTCTTTTTCCTTCTGTTTTCAAACTTTTTTTGTGTGGAGTTTCTTTATCTCTTGTTTCTACCTCCTTCACTTTATTTATCCTTTTGTCTTTTTGTCTTTTTATCCTTTTCCTCTTCTTCTTTTCCTCTTCTTCTTTTCCTCTTCTTTTCCTATTCTTCTTTTCCTTTTCTACTTTTCCTCTTCTTTTCCTCTTCTTCTTTTCCTCTTCTTTTCTTCTTCTTCTTCCTCTTCTACTTCTTCTTCCTCTTCTACTTCTTCTTCCTCTTCTTCTTTTCCTCTTCTTCTTTTCCTCATTATTCTTTTTTCTTCTTCTCAATCTTCTTCTTCTTGTATCTTTCTTCTCGTTTTGCCTCAACTTTTTCCTCTTTGGTCCGTTCTTATTTCTTATTTGATAATTTCCTTTTCTTGTTCAACCCTTTCCATTCCTACCTTCTCTTAGCAACTGACCGTCAGTGCAAAGTCAAGATCATGAACAGGGTCACAATGAACTCCTCAAAGACAAGAAATATTATGTCTTTCAGTAACAGTTTTGGTATTAGTACTAATCTATAAACTCTGTTATTTGGTACTTGTCACAAAACTATATGTATTTGAATGTTTATATCATATTGCTTGTCATTCGTTTGATTATGAGCCTGTGAAATGCATCATTATGGGGTAATAATATGTTCCGCGCCTAGAAACAAAGTATTAGGCGCATTATAAATGTGAGCTATTATTATTATTATTATTATATTATTAAATTTCAATGGTATTAAAGCTTTGATATAACATGTATTTATGAAAACATTCCATGTATTATAGATTTTGAGAGAGCAGTAGTATAGTACATTATGCTTGACTAAACGATATTTTATATTTTGTTTTGACCAAAATAAGTAGATAGTTTTGCATTGTGGATTTTGACCAACTAACATGTAGAGTATTATTTTGTATGGAGACTCAAGAAAAATTTTACAGAAGTTATTACGTGTATGGGTACATATGCTTTCATATTTTACTAATAATGAATATATTTTAAGAAAATCCTTCTTTATTCTTATTTGAAATATATAGGTGTTAAGTGGTTCAAAGCAGTGCAACTTCTTTATCATATTTAAATTCTCAAAAATTGTATGATTAGAGGAAGAAGGGAATTAACTCACGTTATTAAACACAGAGTTAACACCCTTCTACAATTGACGTCAAGGGTCAAACTTGGGGGTCTTAATATATTGCTTTATTTTAAGCTCCTGCTGCAGGTATATCTTTCATGTGAACAGCTAAGTGTAGATACCTGTGTCTGTTTTGATAGGAAAAGGGGCTATTTAGTCAAAAATATATAAAATGCAAGATGTATCACCCATGGCAAGGAAAGGGTTAAGTCGAAGTATATACCCTGATGATTTCTTGAAACAATGCATTGCTAAATACGATACTTGCACACCACAATGATAACTCATATTAAGTTAACTTTTCTATAAAATGAAAAATATTTTGTGCCAAAATGTTATTGTCTTATAATTTTGTTTGCCAAAAGAATAATTGTGGAAGCTGATTAAACATCTCATTTATATGTTGAGAGCCAGAAGGGCAATAACTCTGTGTAAAATGATATGAGTAAACACCCTTCTGGCTCCAAACACATGATTTAAACTGAGACTGAAAGTCTGTTGAACTGATGCATCGATCTCACATTATTTCTTATTGGTTGCTATAACAACTTCAAATTTGTAATGAATTAGAAAACTTAGACACATATTTGATTGAAAATACAGGTGCACCTGCTAGCAGAGAGTATAGTGGACTTAGTTGGGGGAGCTCAATTTATGAGTAAGATTATTGCATCTGTTGAGAGCCAGAAGGGTGTAAACTCTGTGTTAAAGCATATGAGTTAACGCCCTTCTGGCTCCACATATACGATGTGAAGCTTGCCCATGACTGAGTAAGTCAAGAGCAGGTAGTCTGTTAACCTGAGCACCACTAAGGGCAAGAACTCGCATCATTTTGCAAGGAGTTTATAACAACCTTCTGGCTCTCAACTGATAATATGAAGAGGAGCCTTTCACATCTACATTACTGTAGTCAACAACATATGAAATAATTAACCATTAGGTTTCTTTGTATCTGCAAATAGAAGGGGGAAATTTTGGTTTTCATTACTTTGCAATTTTAATCGGTTGAGGAGAGACTCAGTGATAAAAGCCTTTGATGTCTAGACAGACCAATATTGTTGTTTGTTCACTGAGCAGCTGCTACGAAGCACATTAATGTCAAAAGTTATGATCACACAACTTCTAGTCAATGTGGCGATATTTTAATGCATCTGCAGAAAGCCAGAGGGACATAATGCTCACATTTGAGTTAAAGAGTCATCCAAAAATATGATTTGTATATTATTAGAAGATATTAATCATCCCCAAAACTATAGGATATTCAAACTCTTTTAAGATTAAATTGTTAAAGAACACAGATTGATTTTTTTTTATAAGAACTATATGAAGATCAGCACAGAAGATAAAAGTGCTTGAATTATTAGATGTGGTATTGTGAATCAAATAATTTATTCTCACTAGGCGCTTTTACCTTTATTTAGACTCTGTAAGTTTGGGGAATAATAGCTGCAATGTCTCACTGACTTTGACTACAGGAAAGCAGCATGGAACCCCGAACATACAGAGCAAAGTCACTTTTGATGATTGCACTCATTTACTTCCTTTTTGGCTCAGGGCAGACAATATAAGTTTTAATTGGTTTTGTCAGCTTATTCAGCAAATTGCTAGGAGGTTGATAATTAATTATTAGTGGCTGGAGTCATGCACGATTGAAGGGAGGCTGGTAATTAATTACCAATACCTAATTCAAGTCATGACCACGTGATAATGCCTTTGTACAGGCCATGTAAGGTTTCGAATCATGAAGAAACGCTGATAATGCCATTGATGCAGCACTGATTCAAAAGTACAGATGACCTTAAGAGTGTTATTAGTGAGGAGAGTGTGTGTCTGGGTTTCCATGGCGACGGTTAGTGTTTCCTCCATCTCGGACAGCCGATTTAATGAAGGGAAAGCGGGGAAGTAGCTTTTCAGATTTCAGACACAGTCAGTCTATGATTAGGAAAAGGAAAGCATAGTCGAGATTGAGACAGCTTTAGATTCTGTCACAACAAAACCTGCCCCTATACTATATTACAAGAAAGTCTGATAACTGTTTTGAAGTGTAAAATGAAGCCCCTACTTTTGAGCTTCCTATTTGTAACCTCCCCCCCCCCCCCCCCCCCCCCCCTCCCTCACCTACCTCTCCCTATCCCCTTCAAGGAAAACCATAAAACTGCTTCAATCATGAAAACTCTTGTTAAAATTATAGAAATAGCCACCTCTTTTGATCTATTTTTTGGGGGGATATAACCCTCTTCCTTGTCTTTCTTTTGAATCATCTTCCTATTTTGCAGCCTTCTCGTGTCTTGCAGAAATGTTATGGCTGAGTTTCAATGGGTTTCTTTAATATCTATTCTTGTAACAGAGATTGGTTTACATCAAATGTTCATCATGTCATAAGAAATCATTTTCAGTAATCCTAATATTAATATTTATGGTTATATCTCTACCTATATAAATTCAGTATTTCATTAATCATCTTCCTAACAAACTTATCAAAAGGTATATACTTGTAGTTTATATTTGACTATTATTATGTAAGTCATCGCTGATATTTATCATGGATAACGAAAAATGTATTGCTCAAGCTCTTGTATTCTTTTATGGTTATGTGTGTTTTCAGATTTGTAACAATGTTATCAATTTTGTTCAGACGCTCCAACAGTATATTTGATTGTTTTATTCTCTCTTTTTTTTTTTACTTTGATGAATGAACTTCATTGAATTAATAAAACATGGAAAACTATGCCTTCCTCAAATATATACAATGTTGTATGCTTTTTCATTTTTTCCAATATAAGAATTTGTCTACATTCTACCATCTTGTAAGTGCAGTGTAACATTCTGTGCATGCTGATTTGATAATTAAACTATAACTTCATCCCTTTTCTTTTCTCTCCACCCCTCTCTCCCTCTCTCCCTCTCTCTCTCTCTCTCTCTCTCTATCTCTTTGCCATCTTTCTCCTACCCCTATTTCCTGTTACCTTTTCTTCCCTCTGTTGCTCTCTTCTCTCATTTTCTTTCTACACCCCTTCAAGTGCATCGGACCATTTACTAGTACATCATTAGTTGATTAATGAGGTGATTACACGACTGATAGTCGAAAAGATAAAAAACATTAATTTGACAGTGACATATCTCAAGGCTTCCTCCTTTCCTCTTGTACCTCCCTCTCTTCCTCTTCCTCTCTATCTCTCTCTTCCCTCTCTCTCTATCTCTCTTCATCTCTCTCTTCATCTCTCTTTCTCTCCTCTCTCTCTCTCTCTCTCTCTCTCTCTCTCTATATATATATATATATATATATCTTTCTCTCCCCCCTCTCTCTCTCTCTCTCTCTCTCCTCCCCCCTCTCTCTCTCTCTCTCTCTCTCTCCCCCATCTCTCCCTCCCTCCCTCTCTCTCCTCCTCTCTCCCACTCTCTCCTTATTTCTTTCCACACCTTCTCGAATGCACCTAGCTAGCTCTGTACACCATTAGTTGATCAATACCATAATTAAAGTACGATTGTCGAAAAGATCAAAGACATTAATTTGTCCAAGTCTTACATAATTATCATCAGAGCATCCTCCTTCCAAGTCACTGGAGGTCCCTGGATGAAAGAGAAGAAAGGCATAATTTATGTA